TAATTTTCTGATAGATAAATATGTAAAATGATAATCTATATGCAAACTCATAATAATAATAATATTCTTTTGTGTCTCTACATTTTAAAAAATTCGCCAATATGAACTCACCAAAACAAGTTATTGTTTATCTCAAAATTCAAGTATTCCTTGCAGAGTTTGAGAATTCATGTTAAATAGAACATTATGTTGTTAGCTATGCATCATGATGCATATTGGGACTCTGTATAAGCAGAACAACACAGTATAACTAGCTTGGTTATTATAACATTTTTTTCAATTTAGACAATATTTATCTTGCTAACGGTTGAAAATCTGTTCTGAAAATATGAAATAGGCAATGATTTATAAAGTGGGAATTTTTTTATTAATGATTACGAAATTATTGTTAAAATATATTAACTTTTTAAAATTTTATATAAAAATAAAATTAATAGATATCCCATCATATTCATTTATTTTAATTGATATTATATTTTTAAAATCTAAATAAATATCAAATTTTAGATAATATATTTATGAATATTTAAATTATGTTAAATTTGATATACATAATCATGAAAATAATGTAAGATAAGTCAACAATTAAATTTATCAATCTTAAATTTGATAAAAAACATTAAAAATTATAAATATTAAATAAATTATTTTATAAATATGGGTCTAGAACATATAATATGTTAATCGTTTTGTAACTGTTATACTTGTTAATAATTAAAAATCATTGCTCAAAGAGTTCTGGTATTCGATATAAAGAACAACAGCACTAGTTTTTCATGAATGCAGACGAATGCTTTTTATTAGTTATACAAAATTTAAATAATAAAAAAATCTCATGTATTTAACAAAATTTACAGAATATGGTTCGTATCTTCATTTCTGCAATTCTTTTTGTACCAAACGATATTAATCTTGTTAAAAACTAATAACGATAGTTTTTACAATTTGTTTCATTTAAACAATAATTGAATATTTATTTACTTATCATAAACTATAGCTAAAAGCATTCTCATGGGATATAAGAACGGTTATATGATCGTTGCATAATTATTTATCATAAACAATATGAAAAAAAAAATCTCATAAGTTTAAGAACTTTTATAATAAAATAAAAAATATTTTTATAATTATTAAATACAACATAAGAATGTAGTAAATATAATAATATAAATGTTATAACTTAAAAAAGTTATTTACAACTTAATAACTAATAGTAAATATGTTATTAGTTTTAGTAATTATTTAGTGAATAAGATAGGATAAAAAAAAATATAATAAGAGAGTCATGCAAACAAGATGAAATAATAGTATAATATATTTTGATGTTATTTTATAATTGATGCATATTAAAACAATAAATTAAACACATTAGGTTATTCTATTCTATCTAATTCTAATTTAGACTTCTAGGATAAAATCTGTAGTAAAAAGTACGATAGGATAAACTTATTAAATAATTTTTTCATATTTTATTAATTAAATAAACACTGAAATATGTCTTATTAATTGGTTAAATACATTCTGAATTATATTATATCTTGATCTTTTACCATGTTTATCAAATAGATTCTTATTGATATATGTTCAATTCTCACCTATTGTTGTTCGTTCATTTTGCATTTTATATTATAATTTAGTTTAACCATTAATTCTTATTGTTAAAACAAAATCAAATTGTATGTACAATATGGCTATATATTGTTAATTATGTATCTATAAACTATTTTTTAAAATTTTATCATAATATTCGTGTAAGTATGTAATACAACACTTATGTCTATTCTATATTTACATTTCTCTCAACGCAATATTCTTTCTTTGTTCATTTTTACCAATAAATTAACTATTCTTTTATAGTTTTATCTTTTAATTAATGTCTTATTTATTTATTTATTTTCCCAACAAGTTCCCTTTATTTTCAGTCTACTCTTTAGTCTAAACTAAATATTAAAATAAAAGCTATATAATAATAAATATTTTAAAACAAATAAAGAGTGTTGCCACTAAATATTGAAATCAAACTCTTGCAATGCAAGTAAAATTTTGTGTGCACTTCGTAAATGTCATTCATTTGTCAGTTATGTATAATATATTGAGTGAATAAAGTAGGTTAGATTTAAATAATTAAAAAAAGTAGGTTAGATTTATATTAACTATAATTAAAAGAGTGATTGATTATATTTCACAAGGGTCAAAGTGTGGTGTCATATTTCTAATGTCTTCTAGGAACTCATATGAAAGTTTAAAAGAATTTTTATATAGTTAAAGTATTTATCTTTGAATCGATCTAATCCATACTGTTTGGGTTGTAAAATGGACACGTTTCCTTCGAATCCATTATAGAGATTTAACGACCTATTGTGACAAACGCTGATGCGCATGCATTTTTTGTCTTCTCTTTGTGATTGGGATGTTTTGACCTTTAATACAGACTCAGCATGTCATCGCAACTTCACCAAATGAGTTGGAAACTTGAAGTGCAAGAAATCAAATTTGAATTTGATTTGAGTTGAAATTTCTCACGTTTACACCTGCGTTGTTTCAAAGCCATTACTGAAAGATGTTCCAAAACAAATGCCTTATCGAAAGTGATTAATGTTCTTTCCCCTTTATCTGAGTCTCATCATAAAACTTGAATTTTGATGTAATTTGAAGATAAAACTATATAGTTGAAAATGAAAATGCAAACAATTTGAAAATGCAAGCATTTAAATTGGCAAAAAAATCAAAGCAGTGATATAAACTTAATATTGTTAAAAGCGTTTGATATATTAAATTCAATACTTTTTTCATAATTTATTTACATGTTTTTAAGAAAAGGAGAAAATAATGTTATATCGATATGTATGTTATTTATATAGTTGAAAATGAAAATGCAAACAATTTGAAAATGCAAGCATTTAAATTGGCAAAAAAATCAAAGCAGTGATATAAACTTAATATTGTTAAAAGCGTTTGATATATTAAATTCAATACTTTTTTCATAATTTATTTACATGTTTTTAAGAAAAGGAGAAAATAATGTTATATCGATATGTATGTTATACATCAACAATATTACATTATCAAGAATATTGTGCAAAATATATCTTTTATTTATTTAATTATTGAATTATAATTATATATTACTTTAACTATTTATATTAAATTTTATTAAAATTAAACAATTATAAAAACTAACAAAATTTGTGCATGGCACGAATATCATTAAATTAATTATTTAAAATATATAATAAATATTATATGATTATTTATTCATTTAATAAATTTAAAAATGAGTAAATATAATAATGATTAATATTAAATATTCTATCATATTAAAAAATTATAAAGATTTTAAAATTTAAATTAATATTAATTTTAAAAGTAAATACACAATGTTAAAAAAAATCATTTGACATGAAAAAAAACTTAAAACCTTTCTTGTTTAAAATACTTTTGATTTTTTTTGTTAAATAATATTTTAAAAAAGTTCACTTATTTAGGAATTAATATTCAGAAATAATATATAGAGATTGGTGTGATAATTTTTTTTATAAAAATACATATTAGATTAATTTTGACTTACATAAAGGAATATGAAATAATTTAGATTGGTCTAAACTTTGTAGCATAATTTATATGATATGTAAATTTTTTTAATCTAATGACTAATTTTAGAATAAAAATTAATATAAATAATTCTTTTACATGCTTTATCTAATAAAAACTCCAGCATCTAATAGTCAAATTGCATGCTGTGATTTCTTGTACTTTTAAACTAAGCAGCATTTATATACAATTAAGAACTTTTTAAATTTTAAAAGTGTTTTTTAATAGCATAAATCATGGATACTTTTTAAACAATTTTTTCACATACACAGTTAATAATTGAACTTTATGAATTAAGAAATAAAAAACTGTTTCAATCAAAATTCAGCTACTGAGATGGGCTGCAAGACTCCAGCCAAGAGCATAATGATACTTATCTTCCTACTGGTGTGTGAGGCAAGCAATGATGTTCCAGAATATGTTAGTATTCTTATGGAAAATACATGTTTTGAAATTTCTTTGCATCGATTCTTGCACTTTTTCATTATCCTTTAACAATTGCATTTAGAACTTGGAAGTGTCTATACTCATTCTTATACGTCTATTTTCACTTTTATTTAAAATATTTTTATATAAGATATTTTTGTTATTAATATACTTATAAAAGAAAAAAAATTAAAGAAAAAACGTATAAATAAGAGTGACACACTACTTAAAAAACTCACCCAAACATGTCATCTTTAAAATCACAAGAAGGTTCTTTTGAACAAAATTCACAAGATTTCCATCAGAAATTGTACTTAAACATTAACAAACGCTTTAATGCTCTAGCAATTATACTTCCATACCGTCTGTGATGTACATTGTTTTGAAAATTATATTATGAAAAATGATACTCAGTCCCACTAGCATTCTCGAAAATCACACTTAATCATTTTAATTTGTTGGATAGGCCAAACATAATTATCATTTAATTAATATTAAGAACTTTCCAACAGCTCGCATTAACATATATTTACAAATTTTATTAACCCACGCAAGCAAGCCATAGGTTGGCAAAATATTTGCCACTTAGAGGTTTACTCACTCGGTGGCTATATATATAAAATAATTATAATTCGATATTAAATATTAATTAAATGCCTAATTTATATATCGAATATGCAAATTGTCTTGGGTCAACTTGTGCTTATAAATACCTTCTTATCTGGTAATAATAAGATCTTAAAACAATTTATTAAGTAATTAATAATGTGCTGTGACCTAATGCCAAAAAAGTATTTGTCAATATATATTTTTAATTATAAAAGTAGGTATTATGTCCAAAATTTATTTATTTTAGGGTATCAAAGTTTTATTTTGTGCCTATAAACTAATGGCCCACAAGAGGAAAAAATTGATGAAGTATTTATTGTTCTACATGATGCATAAATGTGTATATATAAATAGAGGGAGTCACGTTCCACCATGTGACAATGAGGTGTCTTGAAAACACTGAGGATGCTGCGATTCCCATCTGCCATTTTCCTCACTGATTATTTTTTTTTTTTAATTTCTAAATCTCGATCTCGCAAAAGAGATCACTCTTTCTAAAATTTTGTAGCTTTTCAAGCAGAAGAGATAAATTCCAATTGATGGACAGCAAATCGATGAAAGCTTCCATGTTAGGCCTCAATGCATGAAAGATTGTTTCTTTTTTCAGGTAAGGTTAAAAAAGTATGTGTTATATATATTATATTTGCAATGATCTTCATGATACACTTTGCATATTCCAATTAAAATGAAATAATAACGATATGGACTTTCGCATTTATCATTGAGATGAGATTGCATGCCATTTTTTTTCCATGTTACTTAACTTGGTTTTGCTTAATGAGATTGCTATATGAACTCATGATGTTTTCAATTTCTGGGTTTTGTGTGTTGTTTTAATTCAGTAAGAAGAATATAGAGACTTGCATTTTCCAAAACAGCAATGCTATATTTTCTAAAATAAAAGAAAGAAACGATGAAGAAAGTGGAGGACTGGAGGTCTTGGGTTAAGGATAGGTACGTGTGAATGGGATTACGTTTGCTACCCAGAATTGTGGAAAAGGATAGTAGTCAACAAATTGCGTATTTTTTTTATTTTTATATTATTATTATATACTAGGTTTACATATATAATTTTTTTATTTAAGGTTTAAACATAGTTTTAGTCCATATAAATATGGTTAATTATTCTTTTGTTCTAAATTTTTTTGTTAGTTTTAATTTTCGTGATTTTTTGTTTTTAATTAATAAATTTTATAGAAATTTATATTCGTGTTTCTAAAATATTATAATATAGAATCTCACATCTCGTGAATGAAGTTTTAATATTAATAATTTTGTTTTGCTTTCTAACTAAAAATTTTGTATTCAAATAACTAGCACTTGAAACTTTGATAGTCAAATTGGGTTTTCTTGTACTTGTCACACTGATTAAACAGCATTCATAATTACCCATAAGTGCTAATATAACTTGGACAAGTTTTCTATTAAGACCAATAACATCATTTTCCAATCCGCGAGACAATCTTTTTAGGCTGAAGAGAAGCAAATAAATTACTGAAGTAAAAGTATAATATCTCCTAATAAAACTTTTTGCATGCATATATCAAGAATCAATTAACACGCTCATAAATAAATAAGGAATTCAGATACACTTTTTGGAGCCTTAGTCACTTTTTTAATCAATTAAAATCAATGAAGTTTGAGTAAAGCTTTGTATCAAAATGTTCAAAAATTACAATTTGTGCCTTCAAGAATGAATGATATTCATCTTGCTACTTTTGTGTGAGACAAACACTGATAGTATCTCAATCTTTTTCTCTTTATACATGACAAATCTTCCGTTATATGTTAATATTCTTATTGAAAAGACATGATTTGCAATTGATTTGCATCTATTCTTGTCTCTTAAATTAATCCATTGTTGCTCTTACCACAGAGAACTCTGGCACCCTTGAGAGGAAACAGCTTTGCCTCTTTTCATTTTCCTTTTCACAATTGTGTTAATTTAGAACTCATGAGGCCATGTCATTTTCAAAACCACTCACTGTCACAAGACTATAACCTTCAGCGAAATTATAAGGTTATTTTCAACAAAATACACAAGATTTCGTTCTTTTTCATTTTTGTCAACACAAGATTTCGTTCAGAAATTGTACTTTGACAAACACTTTTACTGTGGCAATTGTACTTTCATTTTAAAATTGTCTCACTTCCATTCTCGTAACTTAGGTTAATTATAATATATCTAGTTTCGCTTAAATTAATTATTTTAAAAAATAAACTCTCTTTCAAGAAGTTAAAAGAAATAAATGACCATTATTTTGAAATAAGCTCAATTAAGCATACACTTAATCATTATGTTAGATAGTCCAGACATAATTATCATTTAATTAATAATAAATACATATCAACAACTTGCGTTAGCATATATTTCCAAATTTTGCTAAGCTACGTAAGCAAGCCATAGGTTAGATTTACTCACTTTGTGGTTTACCCACGCCTTGTATCACGTAATAATAAGACCTTTTAAATAGTCAAGTACTACAGTGTGACCTAATGCCAATACAAATGTGTCAGAATTTATGTATTTTAGATTAATAGAAATGATTATGAACAATAAAAAATAATAAAATATTTATATTTATATTTTTGAAAATACGTATATAAAAAATAAAAAAATATTTATGATGTTAACTTTTTATGTTAAAATAATGATATTATTTATCTATAAATAAAGCAGGTATTAGGTCAAATATTTATTTGTTTTGGGGCATCAAAATTTTATTTTGTGCCTATAAAATGATGGTCCACAAGAGGGGAACAAAAGATGCCAGCACTATCCAGTTAAGGAAGTTGTCGTTTATGCCTTTTATTCTGGTGTTTAATGTGTATCAGTGTTTATATATAGAGTAACGATATAACCACACATAGATAGTATAATTTTTTTATTATGTCGCCATTTCTTTTTCTTTTTCTTTTTGGCGATGATATCACCTGTTCTATTTATCATTGTTTCTTTTTATAATTTTTTTAAAATTAAAAAACCTTTATATTTTATTTTTTTTGTAAAAATATTATTACTTGTATATACAATAGAGTGCGTCACGTTCCACCACGTGGCTATGAGGTGTCTTGAAAACACTGAGAATGTCGTAATTCCCATCTACCATTTTCTTAACAGATTAAAATATTTTTATATTTCACAATCACAATCCCAAAAATATTATTCGCATAATAAATAATTAAGATACTTTTTATAACTTATTTTTTTATTAAAAAATATCACTAATATACTTTTGATAACTTTTTCGTATACTTTTTTTATTTTTAATTCTTAAATAAATATCTTACATAAATTAATAACACGCTTTCTTTTTCATCAAGTAATGTATTTTGTTTCACACTTCTCGTTCTATTTTTCTTTTATTCGTAAGGAAGTTGCACGAAATTAATGCACAAAGACAGTTTCTCATCACGAAAAGAAACTTTCTAAAAGTTTATAGCTTTTCATGCAGATGACGTGAATGTTAAGAGGTGCGCGGAGTTTAAGTCTAAGCAGTTGATTAGAAAGACCATATCTTTAGTAAATAGTAATTTTGTTATTGTTCCTATAATTTCGACCTTCTGTTGGCAGTGGATTCCTAATTTCTAGCGATTAGTGGTTTGTAGTAATCTATTTAAAAGCTTTGATTAAGTGAATAGCAAAATGCAGCAATTTATTATAATTCTCCACTATTTTTTTATCTCAAACTTTTTCCTTCTATAGAAGTAATATATTACAGTAGCATTTATTTATTAGTTTGTAACAGTGAATTCCAATTCAGGGACAGCAAATCCAAGAAAGCTTCCATGTTAAACCTTAGTGCATCGAAGGTTGTTTTTTGAGGTAATTTTAAAAATGGCGTGTGATCACTTCTTTGAAACGTGTATATGTTGTATAAGATGATGATATCTTTGCTTATGATTTGCAGAATACATTTATTAACATAATTTGATTAAAATTACAACGAAACAACATGGATATGGGCTTTCGCATTGAATTCATCACTGATATGAAACTGCATGTCATTTATTTTTTCAATGTTAATGTTGGTTTAGTTGAATGAGTTTATTTTACATGCTCTAAATGCTTTCCATTTCTGGGTTTTGTCTGTTGCTTTAATTCACTAGAAAGAATATAAAAAGTTGCGTTTTCTGAAACAGTGATGGTATTTGGTATGAAGGATGTTTGTGTATAGTGTCCCAGATGGGTGTTTTTAATAACTAAGGAGTGAGATAGATGATGAATGGAGTTAAGTGGTTTGAAGAGAGAAAAAAGTTGTTGGTAAAAGAGAAATTTTGTGTTTTCACGAAGTGTTTTGTACCATTCAACATTTTCCCTTTTTGAATATGTGATTGAATTGTTCACTTTTGTATTCATTGCTAACTTATAGAACTATTCTTTTGAGAGTTATGAAAATTTCTTATTATAGCCCAATTTTGCTAGAATCGACTGCATCATTGTTTAAGATTTGTAAGACACCATGAACATATCTGCTCTACCAGCTTGATCAATGATCATTAATCTTCATTTTGCAATATTGAAGTCTCATAGTAGTAGATCACAAAAGGTTTTATTTTCATGAATTCTTGCTAACCAATCAAATTGGCTTTTCATGTTCAGGAAATCTCATTCTATCAGACTCAATTTTTGTGTTATTGGCCAAGAGGTGAAGTTTTCAATTTTTGATTGGAAGTTAGGAGCTGGTTGTTGTTGCTAGTTTAGCCACAACAATGGCACTAGCACCTGTTCCGAAACTCGTGCTTGGTTCAGTTGCATTTGCAATCTTCTGGGTATTAGCAGTTTTCCCTGCTGTGCCTTTTCTACCAATTGGAAGAACTGCAGGGTCATTGCTAGGCGCATTGCTTATGGTTGCATTCCAAGTTCTGAGTCCGGATCAAGCTTATGAAGCAATTGATCTACCAATTCTCGGTCTTCTTTTTGGCACAATGGTTGTTAGTGTTTATCTTGAAAGAGCTGATATGTTCAAATACATAGGGAAATTGCTCTCTTGGAAAAGTAGAGGAGCAAAGGACTTACTTTGTAGAATCTGTTTGATATCTGCGGTTTCAAGTGCTCTTTTCACCAACGACACTTCTTGTGTTGTTTTGACCGAATTCATATTGAAAATTGCAAAGCAGCATAACCTCCCACCTCATCCTTTACTACTTGCACTTGCCACAAGTGCTAATATTGGGTCTGCAGCAACTCCAATTGGCAACCCTCAAAATTTGGTTATTGCTGTTCAAGGGAAAATATCATTTGGAAAGTTTTTATTTGGTGTTCTTCCAGCTATGGTTGTTGGTGTTGTAGTGAATGCGTTGATTCTTATGATTATGTATTGGAGAGTATTATCTATTCAAAAGGATGAAGAGGATCCAGTTGCTGATTTTGAAGCAGAAGAAGAAGTTAATTCTCATCAATTTTCTCCAGCCACAATGTCTCATTATAACTCCTTTAATTCTCAAGAATGGAATGCCCGTATAGATTCTTTTAATATTCACAACTCTCCTCGAGTTCAGAGTTTAAGAAACCGTTCAATGGCAAGTGACGGTGAAATTGACAGGGTTCTTTCTAACAGAATAGATTCTGCAAGAAACTCAAATGCATCAAAGGAGGGGACAAACGATGTGCCTCCTCAGACAAAGGAGGAAACAAATCCAACAAGAACTGATGCAATAGTAGATAGACCGATAGAAGCACGTGTTATGCACACTACAGAAGGAAAGGACTACATAAGCAAGAAATTGAGATATGTACTATGGAAATCATGTGTTTACATAATCACATTGGGAATGTTGGTTGCAATGCTTCTAGGTTTGAATATGTCATGGACTGCTATTGCAGCTGCATTAGCTTTGGTAGTTCTTGATTTCAAAGATGCTATGCCAAGTTTAGAGAAGGTGAGACCTATAAACATGAACTCTTGTTTTAGATCTCTTTTTATCTATCTTCAAGTTGAAACACTAGCAAGTAGCTGTTATTTTAGTGCAACTTGAGAACTTTGAACAATCTCTTACAAATGAATTTTCTTCTTGGAACAGGTCTCATATTCACTTTTGATATTCTTTTGTGGAATGTTCATCACAGTAGATGGTTTCAATAAAACTGGAATTCCTGGTGCTCTGTGGGACATAATGGAGCCTTATTCTCGAGTAGATCGTGCTAGTGGAGTAGCAATACTTGCTCTAGTTATACTCGTCCTATCAAACGTGGCTTCAAATGTACCAACAGGTATGTGAATGATTAACCTGCCAAAATGTTTTCATAACCTGTTTTCTGCTTACTCTTTTAATTTTTTTACCTTCTAGCTTTTTTGTTCCACTTGTCATATGATTTTTGTTAACTTTGAATGTGTCATGTTATAAAAAGGAACTTGATTTGTAAAGTCTGTTTACTTCATGTTCACTGAGTTGATTCTTTAAATGCTCATAATTTCAAAATTTACAGCAATCCTAGAAATACAGGAACTTGCATGAATTAACTTTTGCAGAATCATTAATGCACTTAAATGTCTTCATTAGGCTTTACAAAGTCAAGGGAGGGCTTAGACATTGTCAATATTGTATACGCATTGTCAATATTGTAGGTTACGTCCTTTATGATATTTAACAGACAATTGATGGAAAACCGTGTGTTAAGAGAATCAGGCCAAAAAACAAAATGTTCATAAAGATGTATGGAGAAATAGTACAGAATTTACTAATAAAACGTTAGCATAAATGCTAGTTTCATGATTTTGAGAACGAACAAGATCTTTCAACCATATACATTTGAAAAGTAGGTGCACCATTGATGGTTGGTTTATGATTTAAACGTAAATGATTGAGCATTTACATCTGCAACAAGTTGATTCATAAAAAGGTCAAGGCATTTTGTCACTTTATACTCCCCTACCTAGAAAGAAGTTTTAAGAATCAAATTTTTGAACAGGGCAGCCTCGGCAAATCATCAAAAACTTGAAAAAAACAGAACAACCAATTGATGGGTCACCAAATGTTCATCAGCTTGTATAATCAATGATGTTTAATACTGAAACACAGCAATTAAAGGATAAAAGAAATTTAAGATATTTTCCTCACAAGTTTATAATGTAAAAGAAATAAGAAAATAGTTCTCCAAGTAACTAATCTAGTACCCACAAAATCTACTTTGTTCTAAAAGCTTCATCTCCTAATAAATTTGAGGCATAGGTCTTTCTATATCCCTGAAAAAAGATTACTAGATCATGTAAATTCCTTTTGCAGTGATTCTATATTTTTTCCAAGACTTGAATATATGTGTTTGGATCAAACATTGGATTGAAGGTCAGAATGGTTCTACTGAATTCTCATATACTAAAACATGCATATTAACATTAATTTTGGCATGAAAGAGTCAAGAAACACTGTTGTGACTGGAATAAATGTGTACATTGCAGAGTATAGGACATAAACAAAGTAAATTCAGTGTCCATAATGTTTGTTACATTTTTTTATCCTCAATTTTCCCAAGATAGTTTTTCATTAATTCAACAGAGCAATCAAATAATAATGGAAGATATGATCCTCAAAATTTTGGTGTGTGCGTATGCATGTGTGTATGAAAAGGCATAAATGTAAAGAACCTTGAACTATAATTTTCTAACAAGATGCAGTTTTGGATATTCTTCAAATTTTTAGACCATGGCTGATCTAAACATGGTAGTTTCTTACAAAGAAGAAAAGATTTGAGCTTTAATTTCTCCTGAAGTTTTCAACAATCATACACAAAAAAAGAACATGTATTGCTCTTGATGGCATCATAATTATGTAAATAAGCATAACATAAGGAGACAGTATATAAATTTTTCTGAAAGAGAATTGTCTCACTTTTTTCTTTGAAAAATTAAAAGATTAGAGAATTAGTTAAATCCATATAGATTATAGAATTAGTCAGAATGGAGTTTTATCTTAATTTCTTTTCCTAACAAAACTGTTTTTAAGCTCATAATACAATCACTTTGATATGATGTATCATTTACCAATATAGTGTTTATATGTGGTAGTTCTATTGCTTGGAGGACCAGTGGCAGCCTCAGCTGCTGCAATTTCCAAAGAAGATGAGAAGAAAGCATGGCTGATATTGGCTTGGACCAGCACAGTTGCAGGGAACCTGTCACTGTTGGGATCAGCTGCTAACTTGATCGTGTGCGAACAAGCGCGCCGAGCTCCTAACATTGCATACACATTAACATTCTGGAGCCATTTGAAATTTGGTCTCCCTTCAACTCTTATAATCACTGCAATTGGTTTGGCACTCATAAGATGATTCAGTTACACTGAACATCAAATAGTCATAGATATAGATATGTATGCAAAAGCCAAATAAGTTTGGTGCAATGTGTTTTTAGGTAGTTTTAGAATAGATATGTATGCAAAAGCCAAATAAGTTTGGTGCAATATATTTGTAGTGTTGTCTTAGAATAGATATGTTTGCAAAAGTCAAATAAATATGTTTTTATTCCATAAAATTTTTATTTTAGTCTCTCATTTTTTTCCTTTTCGTTTTAGTCCTTAATTTTTTTAAAATTCAACATATTTGATCTCTAGTAATGATGTGATGTAACCAAAAAAATAAAATTGACATGTGGTATAAAAAATTAACACATGGCAACTTCACACCATTATTAGGGACTCTAATAGTTGAATATAGAAAAATTAAAGACTAAAATTAAAAGAAAAACATTTTAAAGACTAAAATCAAAATTTTATTAAAATAAAAATATAGGAATTAAAATTATATTTAAGTCTTTAGGATATATAGGAAAATAAATGTAATTGAATAATGAATTTTGTGTTTTGATCATTAATGCCAAAAATGATTGAATCACTGTGATTATTCTGAAAGTAGACCAGGGATGATGGTTTTGAATTTCAAGTTTGAAGGCAATTGGAAAGGGCTAGTAGCCCAAGACATGTTTCATTATAGAAGGGAATTTTAGAGTGGACACAAGTGATAGACTTGGGTACTGAGGACCTGTTTCTTCAGGTGGACAGAACTTGTTTTCTCACCACCTATTACAGTATAAAAACAGAGGTAAAAGAAAATTTAGAGTTATAGGCTTGATTTTTATTGTTAGTTTTTGGGACTAAGGAAATAATTTGTCAAGTTAAAACATTGAATTAAACTAGAGAACAATTTAAAAACAGAATCTTGTTTTTTTTTCTCTAAACTATATTTTATTTTAAAAAATTGAACGCTAAGCTTTATAAAATTATTCATTAAAAAACATTTTTGATGAAAAAAATCATACCTAAATATAAATAAAGTAGAAGAAAAATGTTATAAAGTTTATATTTGGTTGGATTTTTCAATGAAAAAATTGAATTTAAATTTGAGAGCAATTTAAAAAATTTAAGAAGTTGTTTTTTTCTTAACTCTAAACTATATATATATTTTTTTTAAAAAGCCCTTAAGTCAGTTTCTAAGATTGTATAAATCAAATAATCTTTATCTATAAAATTTTAATATATTTTTATTAATCATTGACTTTATAAAAAGTTATTAGGACCATTATAGGTGGTAAAATTCTTTATTCTCCTTCAAGTATTTAATACATTTGTATTCATTAAAATTTGAATTTAATTAAGCATTTAAGCTGAAACAACTCTGACTAATATGAAATTTACTATATTTGTAATATTTTTATAATATTTAATAAATTTTAGTCAATAATTAAAAAAATGTTAAAGAGTGTTCCTATTATTCTTTTAACCTTAAAGAATAAATTTAAAGTTTTCACTAATTTTATTTATTTTTTAATTCGATAGTACTGACTTTTTCTTTGAAATGTTTTGGACTTTGAAAACTATGTTCCCCAGTCCATTCCATTGTTATCTTCTTTTTGATAACGCACTTTTTTCCGCATATTTTCCTACGAATTCGGTCTTGGCTCAAGATTTTCTAAGTGAAAAAGAATAAGGTCCATCAACTCTGCCCAAATATAAACTATATCACATTTGTTAAAGATTTAATTTGTAACTTATAATGATTTTTAAATTTCAGAAACTAAATGTCCAAGCCTTATTGTGAAGGTTTTTTAAATTTGAAAACAAAGCTTGCTAAAATTATTTAAGATCATTTTGGTTGAAAAAATTTATACCTTAATACATAAAGAGTAAAAATTATAAAAATATATTAAATTTCATTATATTACTTCTTCAAAGATTTAAATTGTGATTCTGTTAATGGAACATGTTGTAATGCTTGTAATATTGTTTAATTATATATATATACACCTATGTATGTGTGTGTATGTGATGACTGTCGTATGTTGGTGTGTTGATTTACTTTATGGTCATGTTGATATGTGTATGTGACCTTATTATGATGTTAATACATGTGTGAAAATATGTACATGTTGGTTTATGGCTGGGATTGGACTGAGGAAAATATGTTAAGTGTTTGGTGCAGGGTATTCTCCCTATAGCGAGAGGGCCATGGGAGAAAGGCGTGAAACTGTCGTATTTTTACTATAGCGAGAGGTTCCTCGCTGCAGTGACAGTTTGAGGTGCATTTCTGGGTGCAGTCTCGCTGTAGCAAGAGGGTCTTGCTGTAGCGAGATTTTGTAGAAATCAGAGTGCGGTTTTTTTTGAGTTTTTTATTACAGCGAGAGGGCGTGTCGCTATAGCGAGGGGACCTCGTTGCAGCGAGAATATCTCGTTGTAGTGAAAGTGTCGCGACTAAAGGGGTATTTGAAGGGATAAGGTTTGGAAAAAATAATTCCCACTTCTCCCTTCGAGCTCTCTCTCATTTCTCTCAACTCCCAAGCCATTTTCACTGATTAGATTGCCTCCAAAACCGTTTGGGTGCAAGATTGAAGGCTGAAAATACGTTTAGAGCTTTTAGAGGTGAGTTTTCATGACTAAGGTTTCGGTTTTTCATTCCTCTTCTTGATTTCTTGAGTTCTCATGGAGTTTTCCATGTATGTTAGGGGCGAAATTCGTGTGGGGACCGTTTTCTACCATCGTATTGTGTTGGGTCTTCAATTTGAGGTAAGGGGAGACTCTACCCTATCTCATTATGTTTGATTACCGTTTATTTTGTTAAATCTTGCAATGTAACTGAGATAAAGGGTAAAAAATATGTGTTTGATGAAAATTGTTGTGTAGTGCGATGTGTGATGAAATGGTGGAACCCATTGTGGGTGGTTGTATAGTGTGAGCATGCCATTGCTTGATGATTGAATAATGTAAGTGTGGATTATGTTGAAAATATTACGTGTATGAAATTGTTGTGCGTTAAATGTAACGCAAATGAATGTGGGTTGTGTGCCGTGTGCAAATATGAATATTGTGTGTGTGACTGAAATGCATGTGAATGAGGGCATGTTACATGCGGTTGTGAATATGCAGTGAATGGTTCAAAGATACACTAGAGGTGTGGAAGATGGGGACGATAGGAATACCTTGGGAAAGAGAGAGTGGCTGTGACACCAACAGTGAGCGTGGATGCACCATAGGCCACATACTCTCCTCCTGACTAGACTTCTGACCACCACCTTTGCTGAGCGACTTATAACCGCCCATGTGGTATCGGTGAGGCGGGGGTAACCAGCGACCATTCATGGTTAAAACTATGATCACAGTGCCACAGTGAGTGTGAATACGTGCAGTAAGCGCATATGTGTGTGTAAAATGTTATTGGTGCAATGCGCGCACCGGTTGTGAATCAAATGAAATGTTTGAGAAACGTTGTTTGTGATTGATAATATTTAAGTAGAATATGTTAGAAAATGTGTGGAATAGGCAAGGTGAGACTCTATGCTTGTTTGTGTATATATGATAGTGTAGAGTACTCACCCTTACATTATTTTTTCAGGTAACCAAGACGATCAGCACCAGACTCAGTGAAAGGGGTGGATGGAATTGTTATAGGACTTAGGATATCATTTTGAAATTTGATATATTTGAATTGGTCCTGTAACAGTCATTTGATATAAATTTGTAACTCTTTCCTTTATTTTAAAATATTTAATGAAACCATGTGTTGAAAAGTTCATTATTCCTATTTTGTGAAATTTATTATTTTGAAATTAAATTTAAGGTGTTACACATATTACTAAATCCTTATAAAGGCCATTACTATGTGTGACAATATGACTTTGTTGGAATCAAAGGGTATGGAGAATTTAGGGGAGGTTATAACTAGATATAAAGATGACTTGCCTAAACTGTTTTATACCATTTATTTGTGGCATCCTCGTATGGTGGCTGTTAATAGGGGAACATATGTTCGTTTGTATAGTGTGTCATATCATACTTGGTTAAAGGCATTCTTTCGGAAGATGGTGTCACCACTAGAAGATTTTGTGTGCATTTACGATGATACAACTTCCTCAAGACGTATGGATTTTGCAAAAGTTCACCTTCAGGCTCAAACACATGCACTGATTAATGAAGATCTAAGGATTCATGGATGGTCGAGGAGCATAGGGGAGAATTCTTTCAAGGAGGGTAGTGATATCATGATTCAAATACTTCATCGTTGGAGAGTTATGACGATGCTTCATTGAATTTGAACGTTTTGGAGGATAAAAATTCAGATGATGGTGAGAAGGGCCGTGATCTAACGATAGGAAGTGCAGCAAAAAAAAAGAAAGTAACCAAAGATAGTGTGGAAAGCACAGAGGAGGGGAACATAGGGTGGATTATCGGGAACAAAATTTACGTGATTCCATGTTAGACATAGCACAATATCAGGAGGAGTTTGAAAGTTCAGAATCAAATTCCATGGAGAACGTAGCAGATGTGAGAATGAGAGAGAATTCAAGTTATGAAGTGAATATTAATAATGACTTGATTTTCAATAATTATGTAGATGTTGTGCAATTGAATGAGGATCTATTTGAAAAGGAGGCTGACCAAGGTGGGCCTTTGTTGGTAGAAACTTATGAGGAAGGGAATTAGTGGGACACGAGAGCTGATGAAGGATTATGGCAACTAGGTGTTATTGATAAGGGACCAACAAGAGATAAGGATGTGGCACAAAAACAGTTTATCGATCTGATAGCTTGATTATTGGACCTTCTCATGGGTCAGACAAGGCTAATCATGTATTAAGTCAAGGACTAGATTCCCTTCAATCCAATGTTATTGTTAAGGCGGTAGTGCAGGAAAGAATTAATGTTAGGAGTGCACTTCGCAAGGCAAGGAAGAAGAACCACGGCTCCAAGTTTTGGACTCAATCTAAAATTATGTGAAGGAATCAAAGCTTGGGCCAAATGTTTGGGGGGATATATATCTTGAAAGTGGCTTGCAACAGGACCTTTGGGAAGATTGATTGTATATGTGAATTGAATTAATGATCCCTTGATATGTATTGTTAATTTCCTTTGGAGTTGTAACAGATTAGAGTACTCCTTGTACTCTAAATTTGTCTTTGATAAAATGTTGATGTTTAGCAAAAAAAAAAAAAAAAAACCAATCCTTATAAAGGATTAAAGTAGTGACAACATCAAATTGGGGTACTCTACTTTCGTCTCTTACTAAGTATTTAGGACAAAAGGAGATATCACTCAATGCCTCTAAAGATAAGTGTACTACCATAGGTTTGACCATAAATTGACTATCTACTAATTAAATTGAATGCAAATAAAAATCATGAGATTTTTTTAAGGTTGTAATGTGGCCAAAAAATTATAATAATTGAGGAGAGATAAATGAAGGGAAGGAATATTCAAAGGGATAATAATAAATCATAATAATTAAAGCATCCTTCAAGTTTACAAATGAACTCTTGGAGTAATGTTTTTTATATTTTATATTCAATCAATACCTTTACTCCTTCCTCCTTTCATTCATATGTAACCTTTTTTTCTTTTCTTTTTTGCTATTTTTTATTTTCTTTTACAATTGCGCATATTCTCTTCTTT